CAGGATAGTTGCTTATAATAAAACATGCTTATTTTCAGATTTTTCTTAGAAAGGATATGTGTCAGGATATGAAGATGTGTTCTTTTCGTACATTGATGACCTGTAGTTTACACTGTGTAAATGCAAAAAAATATATATTTTTTGAATGTTTACATTTTCACAAGTAAATGAATCTGGATTTAATGTTTGTACCCAGAGGTCTTGAGGGAAGATTTCAGATAACCTTAGTTTTTGTATAATTTTATCTGCCTGTCAGGATTCTTTTTCTCATAACCAAATGTGTAAAATTTACTAACGGAAACATCTCTATTATAGGTTATCTTTACACTATAGATGGTAGTTTTTAGTAAGAAAATAACAACAGAACTGAGAGAATCACATGGTCAACAGATGAAAGGAATAAAGTGGCCAATGCTTCAGGGGAAGCCTGCTCTGCACAGTCTCCCTTTTAAACATTGGTCTCGTGAATGCAAACACCTTCGTATTTGGGAAGCAATACGATGTTGTAATGGTAAAGCTGTGTGCGGATTTTTGAGGTGGCGGGGGGGGGTTTAATTTTTAGACATGGTTGTCCATGGAATAATTAGTTCGTAGTGGAGGTTGTTTGGGAGTACTTTAACAAAGGCTGGTTCTCCCCGGCTATGCCAGAAATATTTTAGATAATTTTCTTGAATGTGTTTTAGATATCACATGCTAATAAAAGTATCATTTTTAGTGTATCTGAATACCTCTTTGATGTAGTCCCCCAAGGTGTGAACTTAGAAAAAGATTCAAAGAGGTGCTGACATAGCAACTTCAGAGGTGATGTAGGAGGTCAAATGAAAATAACCTCTAATCCCAGTCAGTTCTTTGCCAACAATTGATTTTTTTTTCCCCCTTTCAGGTGAGGAGGAAGTTCTAGACAAATAGTGTTATCTGCTATCTTTGGTGACTGTAGCTACCTGTTGCTGCTTATATACTGAAATAGTTCAGTATACCCTACTTTTTTGACCTGTATTGTTCTAAATAGAAAAGCACTTGAGAATTCCGTGTCTTGAAGGATTCTTGTACCCTAAAGAAGCCCTTATACATGAACATGCATGCTAGGTGTGACTTTCATCTGAGATCATTGTATGAGTGTCCGTGAGAAGCACACATAGCACAGGGTCAGAAGCTTTATGGTTACATGAATTGAGTTCCTTGAGTCATGGAAGATGTTTGTTTTTAACAATTAGTATTGTCCTTCTTTAGGGTTTTTTTCTTAGTAATCTGAATGGGCATGACCCTTAGCTGCTAGCATGAAGGAATCTAGAAAACTTAGAACTTGATATTCATTGACAATCAAAATTTCCTGAATTTTATATTTTTTTAAAATGTTGTTTTTACTTTCTTTTATTTTTTATTTTTATTTTTATTTTTTGAGACAGAGTCTCACTCTGTCACTCAGGCTGGAGTGCAGTGGCACAGTCTTAGCTCACTGCAACCTCTCCCTCCTGGGTTCAAGCAATTCTCATGCCTCAGCCTCCCGAGTAGCTGGGACTACAGGTTTGCATCACCACACTCAGCTAATTTTTGTATTTTTAGTAGAGACAGGGTTTCTCCTGTTGACCAGGCTGGTCTGGAACTCCTGGCCTCAAGTGATCTGCCTGCCTTGACCTCCCAAAGTGCTGGGATTATAGGCTTGAGCCACTGCACCTGGCCCTGAGTTATTAATATATATTCCAGGCAAGAATCTCTTCTCATGGAGGCAGTACTGACCAGTTATAAACACAAAGTGAGTGAGTCGTTGATAGCCAGATTCAGAATGAAGTGCAAGCCGATAGGATTCAATCCTGGACAGTTCCCCACAAAGACTGAGGCTCCAGAGAGGTAAGATCTGTTTGTGGCGGTCATTCTGTTTGACCCTATTAAAATCAGGAAACAATCGAGTCTTTCCCCCTTCCTGTCTTTGACAGAACTATCTTATATTCTTGAATATTTCACTTGCTTGTTTACTTTGTAAGGCATAAGAAAAAATTTAGACAGGGCTGCAGAGCTCCCTTTGGCATGTGGCCTGCCGGCCCAAAGAAAGCTGTAACAACAAGAATGATAGATATTTTTAAAAAAACCTTGCCCAGCTATTTTCAAAAGGTTTCAGGAGCCCTGCGCATCAAGATTCATTGATTTTATAATTTGTTTTAGTTAAGCAATGAATTTTCTGAAGTTCTTTGCTAAGAAAATGTTTATCCTCTTGCTAGTGATTTACTACTTTAAAATTAGGTTAATTTATGTATTGAATAAATACATACTTTGAATAAGCCTCATGTAATAGGCACTGTTCCAGGCTTGGGGAATAGAGACAACCAAGGTGGACAACATCCTTACCTCATGGAGCTTACAATCTAGTGAAATAACTTCTTAGGAAACATTAAAGTTTCTGAAGTGGCGTTTGATAATTTTCATATGCCAAACTCCTCTTAAAGGAATACTTATTTATCTTTGGGCCTTGGCTCCTCATTTGTTAAGTGAGGAAGATAAACTAGAAGATCTCTAAGGTTCTTTTCCATTCAGAACTTGTATTTTTTTTTTATTTTTTATTTTTTTTAGAGAGAGGGGTCTCACTCTGTTGCCCAAGCTGGAGTGCAATGGCGTGATCATGGCTCAGTGCAGTCTCTACATGCTAAGCCCAAGGGATCTTCCTGCCTCAGCCTCCTCAGTAGCTGAGACTGCAGGTGCACACCACCACACCCAGACTAATTTTTTTTTTTTCAAGTAGAGACAAAGTCTTGCTATATTGACCAGGCTGGTCTTGACTCCTGGCCTTGAAGCATCCTCCAGCCTTGGCCTCCCAGAGTGCTGGAATTATAGGCATGAGCCACTGAGTCCGGCTCCGTAATGTTTAGAAGATGGAGCGTGGTTTGTAATTAGAACCTTAGGCAATTCCACCCACCTTCAGTGGATCAGTGTATTAAAAGAAGTGTTATAAAGAGACATTTGCCAAAGACAGTGATATCAATAGGTGATGGAGAGTATCAAATGCTGCAGGGAAGTCAAATGAGTTAAGGACAAAGTTTGAGGACCATTCAGTTATTAAGAATACATTGGTCGGGTGCAATGGCTCACGCCTGTAATCCCAGCACTTTGGGAGGCCAAGACAGGTGGATCACTTGAGGTCAGGAGTTTGAGACCAACCTGGCCAATATAGTGAAACCTCATCTCTACTAAAAATATAAAAATTAGCCAAGCGTGGTGGTGGGTGCCTGTAATCCCAGCTACTCGGGAGGCTGAGGCAGGAGAATCATTTGAACCCAGGAGACGGAGGTTGCTGTGAGCCCAGATTGTACCACTGCACTCCAGCCTAGGTGACAGAGCGAGACTCTGTCTCAAAAAAAAAAAAAAAAAATAGACATTGATGATCACAATAGGAACAGTTTTAATAGTCATACATTAGACTGTGATCCCCTTGGTTGACGACTGAATTATTGTAGACATTGCCTATTCCTGTGAGACCCTTTAGACATTAGGCGTGTTAAAGCAGGAAAACGTGAGCTTCACCGTAGAGACTACTGAGGAACATAGTCAAGACTTACTTTACTGTACTTGTTTCTGGATGTGTGTTTTTCTGTTTTAAGTTGTTACTTGAGGTAGTTTATCTGGCATCTATATTGATAATCAGATAATGAATGATCAAGTACTGTGTGATGCAGTTGGAACAGATAATCAGCATGACTAATGAATCATTTAATATTGCTTAATTATCACTTCAGAAAAAAAGATTTCTTGCCCAGCAGGTAGAAAGAAGTGCTGTATTTTTTTTAGAAGAGTAAAGTAATATCCTTGTATGCTTTTACTTTTTTTTTTCTTTTTTCTTTTTTTTTTTTTTTGAGACAGAGTCTCTCTCTTGTCACCCAGGCTGGAGTGCGGTGGTGCGACCTTGGCTCACTGCAACCTCCACCTCCCAGGTTCAAGTGATTCTCCTGCCTCAGCTTCCCAAGTAGCTGGGACTACAGGTGCCCAACACCAAGCCCGGCTGATTTTTGTCTTTTTAGTAGAGACGGGGGTTATACCATATTGGCCAGGCTGGTCTCAAACTCCTGACCTCAGGCGATCCGCCCGCCTTGGCCTCCCAAAGTGCTGGGATTACAGGCATGAGCCACCGTACCCAGCCTTTGTATGCTTTTACTGATAGAAATTATTTCTTTCAAGAAATGGGAATTTGGCTAATTTACCTCTTAAAGGAAATATTAGTGCTGCTTCATCTAAATGAACAGGAGAGTGAGTGAACTGACAATTGTACTTAAAATAGTTGTTCCAATCTTTAGAATCTCCTATAAAACCTTAAGATACAAGTTTACCTTATTTTAGGGTTTCAAACTAATATGTGTTCTATTTTATGGAGGAAAGAACTACGTAATGTGGAGCAGAGTTTTTTAACAAGAGGTTCTTGTATGGCTCTTTAGTGAGTCCACGTACCCCCTTGAAATTGTATGTGGCAGGTTGTGTATGTGTGCATGTTTCTGAGGAGCGGATCCATGACTCAAAAAGGTTAAGAACTTCTGCCCTGGAAAGGAAAAGCAAAAGATAGAATAAAGACATTTTGAAAAATAAAAACATTTTGTATTTGCCAAAACTTGCTCTGCAGCAGTAAGTCTGAAACAAGTTTGCTACGTTTTTCTTTTTGGTTTTACTTTGTTTAGGCTTTTTTGTTTGGTTGGTTTTAAAGGATTTAGGGGATTGGCAAGTCAGTTTGTCAGATATCAATGAACAGAAAACCTAAGAAAAAAGGTAGCAAAAGTTCTGCTGGCCCCAGATGGATTTTGCCTTAGGTAATTTCCTAATCATTAGTTACAGCTCTGTGTTAAAAGATGTATATAGAAATTTATGCTAGATTCTTAACATCTTTCTTACTGTGTGCAGAAATGTTTTTTTTATTTATGTATGCTACGTAAGAAATTTTCTTTCCTACTTTTATGCTCACAGTAACAAAATATAGCTGAAGAAATTAATGTTTTTCTTAAAGATATTAAATGGTGTTGTTTTGTTTTGTTGCCTCAATTAACTAAGAGCAACTAGTTTTAACAGTTACAATAGCAGTAATGTTAAAGGAATAAGATCTTTTTCTCAAAGACCTTTGTTGCTTCAAAATACAAATCTGCTTTAGTCTGAGGTATCATTTTTAACAATTTTATAAGAATATCAGTCACTGGAAATTCACTCCCAGCGTAAATGTCCTCATCTCTTGTGGAGCATGATATGTGATTTTTAAGGCCTTGTTTGTGAATAAGCGTGCTCTTTAATCATTTGGGTAAAAGGAATCTGAAATTTATCATGTGTACTTGGCAGTGGATTAAGATAACTATGTAATCCATTTCTAGTGTGGCCAGCTTGACAACTACATTTGAAAATCTGTTTCACTGCTTGTTTTTTCTTGTAACATTGTTTCCTGCTATTATAACTAAGCTGTCCTCCCTGCAGATTGACTTTATTTTTCATCTGACATCTTAGACTGATCAAGCCAATGTTTTCTAAACAATACATTTATATAGCTGTTATGCCTTATTTCTGTTCCTCCACATTATATTGCTCCATTCCATGTATGGTCAGTTAGCTAGAACAGTGGTTTTGTCCTGGTGAATATTTTATGATTGTATGAAATGGGGCAAACTTTGAGAAAATTATTAAGCCAATACTGGAATTGGTTGGCATATGCCTTTATGATTTATTTAGTTTGTTTTCTACTTTGCCCTACCAGGGAAGAATTTAATTCTTCCCATTTCCTGAAAGTCAAAGGATTGGAGGACACTGAAGCAAAATAAACCTTAATCTCACCTCAAAAGGAGCTTAGATAATGTCAGGAAGGGCTTTGATGAAACCACTGTCCCTGCTTATAGATCTTATTTTCCAAGCCTTTCAATATTTTATTTGCCCTTTTCTGAACTCTACAATTTCCCTCTCTTGTAGCTGGTTCGATGCCCAGAACTGAACGCTGTGCTCCAGCTGTGGCCTCACCGGTGCTGAATAGAGAGGAAGAGCCACCTTCATAGCTTACATGTGATTCCTCTGCTTATCCAACCCAATACTGGATTTACTTACTTTGGCAAGATAGCTGCATTGTGCACTGTATTTAATGTTACGTGTACTGTAACCCTGGGTCTTTCTCTGCATTGCTGCCGTTAAACCCCCAATCCTGCCAATCTAAAACTCCTGCCTTTGTTTACCTTCCCCCTCCCCCATAGACTCCCCATACATTCATCCACAATGAATGTCATCTTTTTACTCTCTCATTTCCTTTTACTCTAATCTTAAACTTTGGCAAAACTTTCACTCTGTCCTATAAATTGTCAGTTGTCAGCCATCTTATTTTTCTCCCTGCTTTGGTAATGGGACATCTTTCAAGTCTTTTCTCTGGTTCTTTTCGCTTTGTAGTCATGAAGCACTTGGCACGGTGAATTCAGTAAGCATTCTCTTGCCATTGCTCCCAAATCAAATACCATGAACTCCTGGGTTGACCACCTATCAAGTTGTTACCTATGCTTTGGTTCTTCAGTCCAGGTTTTCCTGACTCCTCCTGACCTCTATCCCTACAGCTTCATTCAGGATACAGTATTCTCTCACAACTCTTCCTCCAGGGGGAGACAACAGCATCATGTCAGTTTACCGGGGAGATTTCCGACAGTAAGGAAAATTACAATCTCTAATTGTGAATAGAATCGTTTTTAATAATTTTAAGCACATTTCTGCCCCCACCCCAGACCTTAATTTTTAGAAACGATTAAGCTTAAGTTACTACAAATTTCTAGGATGAGTAAAATAAAGGAAGAAGGAAGGGAAGCAAGGTTTTTGTGTTGAATAGGACATGGTTCTCCCAAGAAAGACAAACTGAGGTTCTTGTTGGATTTGAGAGCTGTCTGAAATGGGAATTGAGGCTTCGTTTTTCTGAGCATTATTGTAATCTCAGCTCTAGAATAGGTTTTTAAGTTGGCTTATGTAGGACTGTTGACACACACAGTCTTAATTACATGCTTTAGCTAATTTAGAGTATGGAAAGTGTAACCTTTTTTGCTTTATTAGGGTGATAATTGGAAGGTCTCCACAGTTCCTTTTTATCCATCTCTAAACTCCCTCAAGTTTAACTAAATCCTGGTGCTTCTTATAGTACCAGTCAAGCCGAAGTTTAAGTTCTTACTCTTTTTTTTCTTAGTTGATTTAAATAGCCTCTCCTTGGATCTGTGGTCTTTACTGAACCCAGAAGTTACCTCCTAAGTGCATTTATATCTTGAGAGTGTTAAAATCAGCTGGGAAATCTTTTTTAACATGATTTCAATACATCAAATTCCTATCATGGTTTTAAAAGTTACCAAACATCTTTCCTTCAGGCCCCTGATAGATATTTTACATACCAGCATATTGCACTATTTAAGTGTATTACAAAAGTACACTACAAAGTAAGAGGTAGCAAGGTCTGTTAGTGTCTTTTGATAAATTGTAAAATGTATCACCTGACTTTTCTTCCATATCTGTAACCATTAGATACTGCTAGTTTCCTTATTCACAATTACATAAGCCAAGCTCAATTTGGTGGTTCCAAAGAGAGTAAGTCTTTTCTGTGGTTTCCTCCCATGTCTGTTGCCAGAGATTGGTGGCTTTGCTTATGCTCGTGTCACTTCCTGATAAGTGTGGCACCTTTCTTCAAAGGAATGTTAGTTTTATTCCCTGACTTCTGAAATAACCCTCAGCAACAGAGCCAACTGGGCTGTTGTGTGTGCTGAATGCTTTTCTCCAGGCAGTCAGTAAGTAGTGAGCAGTGGCATGGTTTCCTTCTCCATTTATGGCCTTGGAAGGGTGAAAGGGACATGGTTGGGACTCTCCATTTACGGTCCTTGGAGGAGTTGAAAAGAGTGGTTGGGGTGTTCTTGGAGGCAGAAACTAGACATTGTGAGATAAAAATAAATTGGCAAGGGATGTTTGGAATTCAAATTCCAATCCCTGCAAGGAGGGCAGAGGGCGCTGGGAAAGGGGGAGTGTGTAGAAAGTCAAATGAGCTCTGCTGCAGGCATTTGTCTCCTTCCATTGGAAGGTTTGCCCATGACACGTATTTGCCTATATTGTTCTAGAAAGTTTTGTCTTATGTGATTGTGACTGTCTTTTACAAAGAGGAAGAAGAAACACTTTAATAAAGAGTGTATTGTTGGAAACCTCAGTTCTCTAAGGCATCATTTGAGGCTCTGGAAGAGATCTCAAGAAAGGGAGAATGAGGCAGGTGCTTGTGCAGAGGGTAGGCCGGCTGGCTTTAGGGTGGGAGACTCTCAATTGTTGCTCTGTTTTTGTGTGACGAAGATCATCACACATGTTGTGCTCTTATTATTCCTTTTACCCATCTAGATTTCTGGCTTCAAGGGACAAATTTTTAAAGTATCTGACAGAGTATCTTATAGATTGTCAACTGTGAATTAAAGATACTGAACTTCCTGGCCAGGTGTGGTGGCTCATGCCTGTAATCCCAGCACTTTGGGAGGCCAAGGCGGGTGGATCACCTGAGGTCAGGAGTTCGAGACCAGCCTGACCAATATGGAGAAACCCCGTCTCTACTAAAAATACAAAATTAGCTGGGCATTGTGGCTCATGCCTGTAATCCCAGCTACTCGGGAGGCTGAGGCAGGAGAATCGCTTGAACCCAGAAGGTGGAGGTTGCGGTGAGCCGAGATGGCGCCATTGCACTCCAGCCTGGGCAACAAGAGCGAGATGCCGTCTCAAAAAATAAATAAATAAAGAGACTGAACTTCCTTGGAGGCTCTATAGAGATTACTAAGAGTTGTTTTAGTTTGGTGAAAATAATTAACATATTGGCTTATCGATTGCAATGTCACGTTTAGGAGAAATTTAGTCTGGCAGTGCCTATAAATTAAGTCTGAGGTGAACTACTTTTGAACAGTTGAGTTAGAAAGTATTTGGTAGCCACCAGGGAAAAGAGATCTTATTTCAAGAAAATTCTTAGTGAAACTCAGTAAATGAGAAGGGAGATTAGAAGGAACAAAGGGAGGCAGAGATGGGATAGAGACTGGTTGCAACTTAACTAAATTTGGAAGCTGGGATTAAGCCCTTGGTTTATCTTTTGAAATGCCATATAAGATAGCATTAGATGTACCATTAAACTCAAGAAACTGGGCTAATAATCAGAAATATGTGTTAGAAATAAAGACCATGGTAAAAATGGAAGGGTTATACAAGAGAATAAAATTATTCAGGTTTTATCTGTGGACTTGCATAATGATACTTATTTGCTGTGTGTCACATGGCAGAAAAGGAAGTGAAATTACACCCCTCTGCCCTGTCCTTCCCCCCAAAAAGAAATCACTGGCTTCATTTGTTGGTTTGTTTATCTGGCAGCTTGAGTTGGTAGAATAGACTAGTAGATTGTCTAGTTTTAGACGTAGGTCTTAGTGTACTGTTTCTTGATCATTGATGTTTGAGACCTGGAATTTGTAGCATTATTGATTTGACCTCTGTTTCAAATTTTAGCGGCTTCCACAAAGACTGAGTTAGTAAGGAATACAACTATGTAAGTAATACGTTTTACTAGCTAATTTGTTTAGGCAATTATTTTTACCCCGTATTCATTCCTTCTTAATCAAGAGTAAGTCAGGTATTCTTTGCTTTGGGAAATTCTTCTTTCTGTCCTCCCTTCCCTCACTTTTTCCAAATTCTGGGCACAATAGCAACTCTCTCTCTTCTGTGGCAGGTGTGCATCCTATTGGCTGGCTGGTATTTCTTGTTTTTTTTCCCCCCCCTTATTCTTTTTAAATGGGGGTGGGGGTATAAAAATATGTGTATGGGGTACATGCAATAATGTTGTAATGTTTCTTGTTGTTTAATGGATAATTAATTGCAAAATAATTGTTTTAATTATAACATGTTTGAGTAAATGCTAAATTAGTATTTTTTTTCTAATATAATAATGAATTTGAAATCTAGCATTCCTGTAACAATGTGTCTATGTTTGTCTGTCTGTGTCTGTCTAATAGTAATTAATATCTGTGGTCCGTACCTGGAAGAGGAAGTACAGCTTTAAAGGAATAACAAAAGACTTTGTGTCTTAGACCCTTCGCAGGTGTTACAGTCGGGTGAAAGAACATGGTGTTGGGAAAAGAAAGAGCAGTTACACATTTGAACAGTTGGAACAGGTGTTTGGTCAGGGAGGATGGGATGCTCAGCCCTGCCAGCCTGTACTTATTAACAGTAGTGGCTTGTACCAGGAGCTGGAGTCAGATGGCAGCACTATGGAGGACTATTCACAGGAGGACTGGGGAAACCACAGTCAGGATCTCCATGGCTATCCAACAGATCAGGAATTGGGTAAGAAAGCCAACATACATGATACTTACATTTGTGTGTATTTCTATACCTTTATGTATGTGCACCCGTACTTCTTATCTGTAAATATCTTTGGTACTGTTCCTTATAGTGGCCAGCACGAGGCATAAAGGGCATCTCTGCCTTATATGTCTTTTATGAATTTGCACGTCCCAGTCTATTTGGGGCAATATAGGCATCCTTGGTTTAGCCTTAAACTGCCAACTGGTGCTTGATGTTGTTCATTTGGCAAGTTATTTACCAGCAAGATTCCCAAAGACACAGAAGAATTTCTAATTCTCAGCTATACAAGTACCCTCCGTGACAGGTAACATCCTATGCAATTCTAAGTATCCTGTACCTTCTAGTTCTAAGATGACTGCTAAGATAATGACTCTTGGCCCAACTGCTGTAGATGTCGTTCTTAGGAATTCCTTCCTTTATCCCAAATATATTTTTCTTTTCTGTTTATGATTTGGAAAAGGTCTTCTCCCAGACTTGAGCCTGAACAAAAATTGAGGGGAAGCCTCCATTTATCTTCAGTAGAGCTGATATTTGAACTGTGTGATCATATTCCTTCACACTTCTTAAGGGATCCCATTCCAGCAGTAGCTGGAATGATTTATACAGTCATAGGCATTAAAAATGGAAAATAAAATTCCTGGTCATGAAATGTAAATTTGTAAGGCCTAAGAGTGTATATGTAGTTGTGGGGTTTTTCTGTTTCTTTGCTCATTACATGCTCCAATTTTTATTTTCATAATTTGATTGCATAATTTGGAAGTACTGATCAATCAGCCATTATACATTAAGAGCAGGTTGTGTAATGAGTGCTCACTTAGAAGGGTATGTTCTTGCTCCCAGCCCTTGGTGCTCAGGCAACCCCCAAGGAAGTATAGGTCGGATTGGCAGTATAAACATGCTCCCTGAGCTTTAGATAAAAGTCCATGGGCTCTGTTTTTTTACCAAATTCTTGATGATAGAAAAATGTTAATTCCAAAGAAAAAGGACTAAATGCTAATATGTTTCTTAGCAATGTTGTTTTAAAAATATTATAAAACTATAAGACTAACAGCGTATAAGAGATGGACTTAACGATTAGAAGAATAAAAGGGGTAGATGGTAAGCGATCACTACCGATTAATTTCAAAGGAGTAATAAGGTCTAAATTACTTTGGCATTCCATAACACTGGTTTTGCCGTAGAGAGTTAAGTCACTCAAACCTTTGGGAAAAAAGCAATATGCAGAATGTGTTGATCCTGATATTGGGGGAATAATTGCTTTATAAAACCTACATAGAAAATCTAAATAGAACAGAATTATTTTTATTCTTATCCTTTTAAAATCATGTCTGCAGTGAAATTAAGCTTTAAGCTCCTAGCTGGAAATCCACTGGTGACCTTGAAGAATTTTATACTTGTCGAGCTGGTTTCTGATCTTGCATATGAATGTATGCATCTCATTATATAAGAGCTATATTTATAAATCTGATATTGGACAGTGTTTGACACTAGAATAAAAGCCTGGTTTTGGAAAGTATGGGATGATCAGTAAACATAGCTACTTATCTACATACATGCATGCCACCACTTAGGAAAACATAACTTGTTTCAAAATATTTGCTTTTCAGATGAAATACCTGTCACAAAGAGAACATTAAAAATAAAACAAGAGTCTTCTGAAGAAGCACAGTAAGTAGATGCTTCACCTTTCCAGAAAGTGTGTCTGCCTAAGTTTAATGACCATTGGGAAGATCAGAAAATATTTAGACATGTTATGAAAGTTCCGGCCATTCACCAAGGAGGCATGTCTATTCATTCTTTAGATTTAATCAGGGACTCACTTAAAGCTATTAGAAAGCATCGCAAACATAGCATCACTGGTAATTCCAAGAACTGTGATGTCTATACATTCTTCTTTTTTTTTTTTTTTTTTTTTTTTTTGTCTCGCTCGGTTACCCAGGCTGGAGTGCAGTGGTGCAATCTCTGCTCACTGCAAGCTCCACCTCCAGGGTTCACGCCATTCTCCTGCCTCAGCCTCCAGCGTAGCTGGGACTACGCAGCTATGTAGTTGGTGGATGCCCGCCAACACGCCCAGCTAATTTTTTGTATATTTAGTAGAGACGGGGTTTCAATGTGTTAGCCAGGATGGTTTCAATCTCCTGACCTGGTGATCCGCCCGCCTCAGCCTCCCAAAGTGCTGGGATTACATGCGTGAGCCACCCACCGCACCCAGCCAGATGTCTATACATTCTTTCACGTCTTAGCTTAACTCTTCCAGTGATTAGCTAAAATGTTGATAATTTTGTATAGAAGAAGAAATAAATGTGTTACAGGAAAGCAGGCGTGTTTATGGTGTTTGACTGTGTGTGGATGTGGACATCTGGATGTTTAATTAAGGCACAAAGATGAGTCACAGGAACCTGAGTTTATCTGAGGTTAGGTGAAATGAGAGGCAGACCAGAGGGACACCTGAAGTATTTTGGGAATCAAAAAGAAAGCTCTTAGATGGCCTATTATACATTTGGAGAAGAAAGCAGTTGCTAGAGGAAAGTCTAAGAAAGTCCAGGGACAGGGTCCTCCCTGGTCCACACAACTTGATCTTCCCCGAGTTTAGCATTATCTTTTGTGCAAGGACATCGTAGTTCTTGGAATTACCAGTGACATTATATTTGTGGTTCTTTTTAATAGCTTTAAGTGAGTCCCTGATTAAATACAATTACTGAGGGGAATATACTGACAGAAAATTTATAGGGAAAGTAAGGAACACCATTCATTTTTTTCACCTGTTAACCTTGGAGTATTGTTAGCACCCACTCATTCTTGGGTGCTTCATCCCACACATGTGATCTTGATGTCAGAGAGATGGCAGAGAAGAGGCAAAAAGGGCTGTGATAGGTGACAGGCAGCACAACAAGAAAGCACTAGTTGTTTTTTGTTTGTTTGTTTGTTTGTTTGTTTGAGACAGTCTTACTCCATCATCCAGGCTGGAGCGCAGTGGTGCAAATCTCAGCTCACTGCGAGCACCTGTAATTCCAGCCTGAGTAGCTGGGACTACAGGCGCGTCACCATGCCCGACTAATTTTCGTATTTTTAGTAGAGATGGGGTTTTGCCATGTTGGCCAGGTTGATCTCGAGCTCCTGACCTCAAGTAATCCACCTGCCTCGGCCTCCCAAAGTGTTGGGATTACAGGCGTGAGCCAGTTTCCGGCCACATTAGTTGTTTTTATTCAGCAAGCCACCACTATCACCTCCCCTTTGTAAATGCTCGTTTCTTTTTCAGAGTCTCTCTTTGGAATCAAAGAATTCCCGTTGTCATCTGATTCCATGTCTGAGAAGAGGGTGAGAGTTCAGGGATGAGGAGTTTTTCCCCCAAATGGTAGCCATTATTTCATTTCTCAAAAAAGAAACTAATCGCCCACATCAGTAAGTTTAAGGCCATTTCTTATTGGGAAGTAGTTGTCTCTTAGGAGTGTGACATCAAAGTGTACCAAAGGAAGGGAAACTGATTATTGTTGTAAAAAAAATAAGTTAGGCATGATGGCTCACGCTCCCGCCTTTAATCGCCGCACTTTGGGAGGCTGAGGTGGGTGGATCACTTGAGGTCAGGAGTTTGAGACCAGCTAGCCAACATGGTGAAACCCTGTCTCTAGTAAAAATACAAAAATTAGGCCTGGTGCGGTGGCTCATGCCGGTAATTGCAGCACTTTGGGAGGCTGGTGCAGGCGGATCATGAGGTCAGGAGTTCAAGACCAGCCTGGCCAACATAGTGAAACCCTGTCTCTAAAATACAAAAAATTAGCTAGGCGTGGTAGCAGTTGCCTGTAATCCCAGCTACTTGGGAGGCTGAGTCAAGAGAATTGCTTGAACCTGGGACATGGAGGTGCCAGATTCTGTCTCAAAAAAAAATTAGCTGAGCGTGGTGGCACACACCTATAATCCCAGCTACTGGTGAGGGTGAGGCACAAGAATCGCTTGAACCCAAGAGGCAAAGTTTGCAGTGAGCCGAGATGGTGCCACTGCACTCCAGCCTGGATAACAGAGTGAGACTCTGTCTCGAAAAAAAAGTGAGTTATTACAAGGCAAAGAGTGGTGGCTCATGCCTGTAATCCCAGCATCCTGGGCAGCCAAGACAGGAGGATTGCTTGAGCCCAGGAATTCAAAACCAGCCTGGGCAACATAGATAGACCCCCATCTCTACAAAAAATTTTAAAATTAGCTGGGTATAGTGGCATATGCCTGTAGTCCCAGCTACTCAGAAGGCTGAGGCGGGAGAATTACTTGAGTCTGGGAGGTCCGGGCTCCGGTGAGTCATGCATTCCAGCCTGGGTGACAGAGCAAGATCCTATCTCCAAAAAACAAAAAAAAAGTTATAACAAAATCTATACTTTCAAACCCTTACTCTCCAAAAAAAGTCACTGGTTTTTCACTACAATGTGCTATCTCTTCCTTATAATCATTCAGGACCTTCACGGGAGGCCCAGTTGATATAACTAGGAATGAACTCAAATTTTATGGATTTCACTTCACCAGCCTCAAACCACTTAAACTTTTCTGGTGATTGGAACGTGAAAAACCAGGAAATCTAACAGACAGTTCTCAGGAATTGTTTAAATAACAATAAGTAATTTAAAAGTTTAAATAACAATTATAAATGTTTAAATAACAGTTAATGAGTCTAGTTCTCATTGTGCTCCAGAGCTTTGAAATGCTGGTGTGAATCTTGAGTCCAAATCAGCTTCAGGCTCAGATCAGCAAGGCAGGAAACTGACAGGCTTTGCAGAAGTATCGAGCCTGGCTGCCTCTCCTCCAGGTTTTAGCTCTCGGGGTGAGAGATTCTGAACAAGGTCTGGGTAGGCCAAGAGTTTCTTTAAAACGGTTCTTTGCAGGGTCTGACTATAGCATTAGTGCCATGAGAATGCTGAATAAAATAACATGATTTGGGCATGGGATTGCTTTTTCTCCTTAGGTATAGGTGGGATTAGCTGAACCTAGCTAATCTCCTAGTCTGCTCATTTATTCAACACGTTTCTCAAGTGCCTATTATATGTCAGGCATTGGGATACTTCACTGAGCATAATAGACAAAAATCTCTGCTCTCCATCCCAACTCCTTAGCATAGTCCTCTGTAAGATCAATAAAACATTTCAAAGGAGGGCAGGGAAAGATGGTAGCTATGAAAGAGAATTTTCCTTTAAAGCATCGACTTATGCAGAAATATGATCTATGTCTTAGCCTCATAAGCACCACAATCAGACATCATAAAAGTGACCAAGTGCTTTTGTCTCCTCTGAGAAGGGGAATAATTCCCTGAGAATGTAGTGATTTCATCTAGATAACCACTCTCATACTTGAAAGCTTTCAAGACAAACTAAAGGATAGACGGTAAATTCAGGGCAGTCTTAGCTCCAAGAAGCAGCTGATAACAAAATATTAATTCTTTGCCATCTTGCAAAGGAAGTCAAGGAGAGCGAGAGGACAGACTGAGAATGGCCATGTGAAGCCTCCCCAGAATGTTCCTAAAGCTCCTCCCCTAGAAGGTATGAGAATGTAACAGGAAAAGTCCCAAGGATCGAGCTCCTTCCAGAGCCTTTTTTCAAGAACCTGTTAGCACACACACACCCCTCTCTTGCCTGTGTGTGATTGTATGTAAGTGTGGTGGTTGAGTGTTTTTGTAGGTTAAACCTGTAATTGATGTGGAGGGTAATAGTTCCTTTCCAAGTTAATATTTAACAAACCAATCTTCGAGTATCAAAGTTTTGCTGTACTTGAGAAACAAACTTTATATAGCTTCATATATATACAAGTTACATGATTTAAGCAGCCTGTGAAATTAAAAAAAAAAAAAAATTCCAGCATTTTTGTCTTATTCTGTTAAGTATACTAGTCAAAATTGAAATAATTCTTTTGCTTCTCTTTATAAAGGGTTTTCTAGCACAGTCTCAATTTATTATCTTGAATGTTACTCTCTTGAAATCTAAGCCTAATGTGAGCCTTTTCCGTCTGAATTCCCAGATCTTAATTCTGTGCTAACCTGACTTCTTTTAATTTTGGGATTAGTAATGAATTTCAGACAAATAGAAAATGTCATTTTCAAAAGGTCATTAGTCATAATCAGTTGTATATTTTCCCACAGCACACACAAAGTCCATTATTGGACTTTCTGAATTTCCAGGTTAGAAATTAAGCTGTTAATTATTTTAAGTGATGCCAGATACTTTTCTTTTCTAAATACAGCATTTTTCACCTTATTTTGGTAAGCAGTTAGGTCCAAAGGCCATAATAGCCACTTTAAAATGTTATGATCCATAGATTTCTGAAATCCTAGAGTCTAAGGTATGGATTCTGATTATACAGTGAGGCTATAGAAGTCACGGAAAGCAGTTTATCATTAATTCTTAGAAACTTGCTAGGGGTGTGTTTCTTTCATTTTAATAGGTTGATTATCTAGACTTATACTGCCCAGTACAGTAGCTACTAGTCACATGTGGCTATTTAAATGTAATTTTAAACTAAATATAATTAAAAATGTAATACCTCAGCCACATTTTATGTTCTAGTGGCCACCACATTGAAGAGCAGATACAGAACATTTCCATCATCACAGACAGTTCTATCTGACACTGCTGTTCTAGATACTTAGGGAATTTGACTTTTATTTCTCTTTCCAGGAAGAGAGACATCATGCAGAACATTGTGCAGATTTTGGAATCGGTACAGTTGAAATGGGAACTTTTTCAGAGCTGGACAGACTTTTCAAGGCTCCATCTTTCTAATAAACTGGCCATTTTTGGAATTGGTTATAACACCCGTTGGAAAGAGGATATCCGTTACCATTATGCTGAGATCAGCTCCCAGGTGCCCCTTGGCAAGCGACTTCGGGAGTACTTCAACTCTGAGAAGCCTGAAGGACGGATCATTATGACCCGAGTGCAGAAAATGAACTGGAAAAATGTTTACTACAAATTTTTAGAGATCACTATTAGCGAAGCTAGGTGCTTGGAGCTGCACATGGAAATTGACTGGATACCCATTGCCCACTCCAAACCAACTGGTGGGAATGTTGTTCAATATTTATTGCCTGGGGGTATTCCTAAAAGCCCAGGCCTTTATGCCATTGGCTATGAAGAATGTATTGAGAGGCCCCTCTCACCACACATGGAGCAGCGTTCCCTGGACCCAGGAAAAGAGGGCCGGGTTGACCTGGAAACCCTTTCAGCACAAACCTCATTACAGGTGGAAATAGAACCCACCCGAATTACCTATTGCTACCTCGGGATTGCTGAGGTCAGGACTCTGCAGCAGTGCTTATTTTTACATTTCCAAGCAAATACCAAAACCTTCAGCAAAGATTGGGTTGGTATTAATGGGTTTTTGTCTCAGAACTGTATTGTGGATCCCGGAGTTTCTCCCAAATCCATCTACATCAAATTTGTAGAAGTAGAGAGGGATTTTCTTTCTGCAGGCTCTTTAGTTGAGTGCCTGGAAAAAGCCATTGGATACCCCTTAAAATTTAACAACTAAATGTCATCCTTCATAAGGATTTGGGCTCTTAGCTCCTTCTTCTCTACTCTCTTCCCATTACCTGGACCACCCCTCATCCAGATGCCACCATCAGACTCTTCATGGAAACCCTTTCTTCAGTTGGGCCAGTACGACTTCTAAGGAATCATAGTAGACTTGGGCCAGAAAAAACAGACCTCACCTGAAAATGCTCATTTTGAGCAAGCAAGATATATAGCGAACTTGCATGGTGGGTCAGCTATTTCTTTTTTAAAAACAGAAAAACAATTTTTAAATGGATTTTAGAGCCCTAATATAAACAAATGTAGGTACATTCCATATTGGACAAAACTTATACTTTGAGTTTCATATGAAATTGAAAAATTGTATTTTTTTCACAATGTTTCATTTTTACACATCTCTGTGTCTCTATATAAGTAATATTTACAACCCTGAATAAATAAGCAATAGATAATGGCAAGTTAAATCTTGATTCACAGTTAAAAAGACTGTTTTTCAATATCACCCTTAGCTACTATTGTATATAATTTAGTTTCATTTTTTTCACCAACCAAGTGTTTTGCTATTTCCAATCAGTGTTGCCTGCAAAGACCTTTGTTTCTGTGATGTACCAACTTTACAGTTGTGTTGCCATTTAAACCTTTTTAAAAAAAAAAAAAATTAAAGTAATTCCTGGCCCCTTGGCGTAGTAGTTGAGCTTTTTGTAGCAGAGTGTGGCCGCACTGGCAGTGGGGGCTGTGCTCTGACTTTACTGCTAAGAATGAAGAGAACAAACAGGGCAGGGTATCTTCACATCCTTTCATTCTCTATACCTCACTGACCAATGTCATTATTGTCAGAGTACCAAAGGTCACTGGACATCTCATTTTGTAATTCTTTTAAAAATGACTGGGATAATCCTTTTGACCCTAAGTACATGAATTTGTAAAAGACTCATTCCTCATCTTTTACACTCCGTACTCAGGGGCAGCTCTCAAGGAGTACAACTGGAAAATTGATATAATCTTGCTGTCTCTCAAAAGGAAGGAAGATCCAGTAGAAACATCTTTTTTTTTTTTTTTAGATAGGGTCTTGCTCTGTCACCCAAGGTCTTGCTGTCACCTAGGGTGGAGTGCAGGAGTGCAATCATAGCTCACTGCAGCCTCAAACTCCGGGGCTCAGGTAATCCTCCTGCCTCAAAGCTTCCTGAGCAGCTGAGACCACATTCTCGAGTGCCACCACACCTGCAATGTTTTCACTTTTTTTTTCCTTTTTTTGGTAGAGACAGGGATTGTGCTATGTTTCCACCGAGCTAGTCTCAAACTTTTGTCCTCAAGCAATCCTCCCACCTTGGCTTCCCAAAGTGCTGGGATTACAGGTATGAGCCAGTGGGGCCAGCCCAAAAGTATTTTTTTAGGAGAGGGAATTGACAGGTATAAGTCCATTAGGAAGGTAGCTGTCACATTTAGATCTTTCAGATATTTCTAATGGGCCAATCACCACTCCACTTACAGGTTAGTACTCTGGGCTGAGAATCGCTTACTAACAGAGTAGTCAAGGATCACTTTGGTCTCATGGCAGGAACTTGTTGGATTGGTTATTTATCTTTATGATTTCCCAGCATCTCTCAGGTACTCTGCTTAAAGTGGGCTGCAAATCCAGGTAAGAACTCTCATTCTTCTCGTTTTTCTATACTACTGAAGATACAGTTGCATATTAACAAAAAGTGTTCTTTTCCTGCAGCCGGAATGTTCTCAGATCAGTGATTTTCTCATTCTGATGCCTGTTGGTTGATTGATGCTTATCTTTGTAATAACTAGAGAGCTTATAATCAATGAGATGGCTTTTATTTCTGTTAAATATTTGAGTCTGGGGTTATGGAGTTGGGTACTAGTTCAGGGAGAATATAAATATCTTGAGAATGTTTTGAGTGTGGCACCTGTTCTCCCCAGGCAGCATCTATAGGCAGAGGCCTGAGGAAATCCTCCTGAGTTTGCTCTTCTTTGGAACTTAGAATTCTGATCCTAAAGGCTGAGGCAGTCTTGACCATCTTTTAGCCATAATCTCATAGTATTCAGTGCTAAATGCTGTAGGAACAAGCATTATTACCAGGAATACTTCATGGCATCTTTAAAATGTTGCCACTGACCAGCCCCAAAACTAACATTATGCTCTATGCATTTTTTTTTCTGCGTCTTCCCATTGTTGTTAGTTGCTTAGCTGGGGCAGAACACTTGGGGAACATTTCGCAAGGATGTTTTAGACCTACTGAACATTACCGAGAATGGGACATTGCTAGACCCACTACGAGCGGCATGGAGAAGATAGCAAAGGCTGGATCCAATAGATGTTTTCACCATTTGCTTTGGGATGGGTGGGGGGTAGAGGACAAAGATGAGCATTGGGAAATGGAGGTTTACCAAGAAAGTACCTTGCTGATACTGGATCTCCAGTCTCTTTGGCCAGAACAGTCTAGAAAAGAAGATAGCAGGATGTCAGATAACTATGAGCATTGCCAAAAATAAAAAATGTACTATTTAGACCTTAATGAAGCTTTATAACTGATTCAAGGGGGACAGAGAAAGTATATTCAAATGTAAAGGTAAATACTAGGAATTACTTTTGAAATCTAAGATGAGATGTGATTGGAAGAAACACTAATGACCTGCAAGTCTCTAACAGATGAAACTGTGAACTTAGCTCTTGCACACATGTTTATGTAAGCAGTTCCCAGGTCACACATAGATCATCTGTGTCATTTACACCAGGGTGGAGAGCAGTCCACCCTAAAATGAATCTTGGCCAAAACTTTCACAAAGTAATGGAGCTACTCTGCTAACTTCTACTCCTTGACTGCGTCAGGGTCAGAGGAAAGAAATTGCTGAAATAGGAGACAGGAGATAGTGAGGACAATTCTCTAGGGTCAAAGAATCTTGAAAAGACTGCCCCTGTGTCGCATGGAGACATTCACTGACTACAAATCATTGGTTGCAGCTTTACTTCCCATGTCAGATGTAATTTGGGATTGGATTCTGAAGGAAAAGTTAGCTACAGGGAATGAATGTTGAGGCTACACCTTATGTAGCACTTGATCAGGATAAGCACAGCCTGTGTGATTAGATACTTGGTGTTTCTAGGTTAGAACCAAAAGACTTTGTACTTCCTCTCTTGGAAGGAGTTACTTATTTGGGGTGACTTGTCTGGAAACAAAGGAGGGGTGTTTACAAGAGATGGTTTGCAATGCAGACTAAAGCCAAGAAAAATTTGAGTGTGATGGAATAGGAAAACCAAACAACAGCCCCCAACCCCACCACACAATCTGCTTGGCCAAGTCCAAGTTTGTAGCTCCCTACACAAGAGTGTGAGACTGGCAGGTATCTCTTCCTGTTGTCTTTGCCTCCACTGAGCTGCCAAGTACTAGATTCCAGGGTTTGCATGAGCAATTTTGTGTTTGCATAGGCATTTCTCAAAGTCACTGCATGGCAGGTATTTGAAGAGGAGCCAGGCAGATCACACTAGGAAGAAGCAGCTGAGAGGGCGAATGGGGCACTGTATAGAAAAAGACCTTGTGTGAGGTGTGGGCCCAGGGACTACACTCTGTTAAAACAACAGAACTATGTACAGTAAATGGAATCCCGCAGGCCTGGCTGCTTTTCTTCCCAGACAGCCGCGGGCAGCGCCAGGAAATCGTTGTTATGCTTTCTGCCCTCACTGACCTTTGCTGGGTGGTTGAGCTGTGCTGGGATGTTTGAAGCATCTTTTTCTTTTTCTTTTTTTTTTTTTTTTTTTTTTTTTTTGGCTGTTGGACAGAAAAGGAAGAACAGGTGCGTGCCTTTCTGTAAGGGAGCAGCGGCCGCCAGAGGGCGCAGAGGTGCCTTTTGACCGAATGGCGCGGGGAGGGGGGCGTTAAATTCAATTCACAACGAACAAGATCTAGTCTCGGGAATTAAAGGATCAGCGCGCGCCTGAGCCTTTCACTGCGGGAATGGGAGGCACTGAAGATTCGGGGTATAAAGAAGAAACGGAGGGACTGTCCTGTCTTCCTTCTCGCAGCCGCCCCTCCTCCCCAGTCAACATCAGGCCTGTACGCCGCTCATTTCAGGGGCTAAGCTGGGAGCAGCATGCACATTGCCTCAGTTTCCCGCTCAGCTCCTGGGACTACTTTGTGCCAACCTTCCCTGTTCGGAATATGAGGCACAGGCCGGGGTAATCCTCCAGCCTGGGTTGGGGTCTGCGGAACTCGCGGAGCGCTTTTTCCTGCCCGCAGGTGAAGATTCCCCGCGCGCCCTGGGCTCCCGCGCGGCCTCCGCCGTCGCCCTCGCTGCAGCGCTCCGGTGGCCGCTCAGCCCCCGCCTCCAGGAAAGCCACAGATTCCCGCGGTACAAAGGAGTCCGCGCGGCTGGCGCTCCGGCCTCTGCCTGCAACTGGAAAATGCTGCTCCCCTCTTCCTCCTTCAGGAAGGCCGCCCTGATTGGGCCGGGGATGCGGCACCCCCAAGCTTGGAGCGGGTTGTTGGAGCCAGAGCCCAGGAGCGTTTACATGTCAGGGGTTACGGGTGGTTCCGACTTCGGATAGTCCCCAAATTTCCCACCCTTCCTGGTCACCCTTCCTATCCCACCCCGGCGGAAGGGGAGGTTATGGCTCAGGATAGTTCTGGAGCCTCCTCTTCCCCCTCCACTCCCTGGCTGGCTCGTGGGGCATCACAGCTTACCTCACCCCTCCCTGCGTTCAGACCTGGAAGAGGCTGCAGGATCCCGCCGTCCGCGCGCTGGGGGCGCCCCCGGGCGGCGGACCCCGCGCGCCCCGCCCGGGAGGACAGCGACCTCTCCGCCCCCTCGAATGCCCCGCCCCGCTGTCGCCGTCGGTCCCCACCCCGCCACCAGCACACAGGCGCGCAGACTTGGGCTGGAGCCGCCCTGGGTGTCGGCGACCCGGCTCCCGCGCACGCTCCGGCCGCTGCGCAGCCTCGGCACCTGCGGGTCCGTGCGTCCCGCAGCTGGCGCCTCTGACTCGGTCCGGGCCAGGGAGGACCATGATTTCCCTCCCGGGGCCCCTGGTGACCAACTTGCTGCGGTTTCTGTTCCTGGGGCTGAGTGCCCTCGGTGAGTGAAACCCGGACCTGGAGGGGACTTGGGATGCGGGATGGGGTGAGTTCGACCCTGAGGGAGAACTTTGGCCACTGCTGCGGAACTGGGTCCCACGACTCGCCCTCCTCCCCTGACCTCCTAATCCCACTCCAGGGCATCGCTGGCTGGCGCTGACTTCTCACTTTGGCGGGTACAGCTCCCAGTTTGGGTGTGGGGGCGGATGGCTGGGGGAGGTAACGGCATCTCTCGAAAGACCTGGATACCTCTGGGGTGAATTATCGGAACCGTTGCTCACCCTGTCCACTCCCCACCCCCCACCCAGCAGAGCCGGATGAGCTGAGCCGCTAGATGAGACACTGGCTAAAGAGCTTAAGGACTTAACTCTAGCCCCCTCTCATCCCCGACCCCACATACAAGCTGATGAGGAAGATCCCCCGGGGAAATACCTCTGGTCCCCAGGCTTGACACACGCACTTTGTGTCAATTCCCCAGCGCAGATCCTCTCTCTTGCTCCCTCCTGCTTCCTGCCCTGGGAATCAAGGGAGGTGCCCCAAAAGGACGACCGTGAGGTCATTTGGGACACAGGAAATGGGGGAGGGGTTCAAACGCACAGAGAAACAGAATTGTGACCCCCCCCCTCCTCCAGGCCCACCACCCCTATTGGTTCCCAGAGCCAAAGGGATGAGGGGAAATTGAGAGGAGGGTGGCCAAAGGTCAGGAAGGGAACCTCCTTGGAGCAAGGGTTTGGGAAGCGTTGGAGGCCTCCAGGGGCGCTGGCTTCAGCTGAAGCTGGGGTGGCTCAGAACTCCACCTGGGAGAGAAGGACCCGGCGGGACTAGGCCCTTTGAAGCTGTTTCACTTGCTATCCCTCAGCTTTCTTGCCATCCCCCTTCAAGGATCTGGAATGGGAGTGAAGGGTGGGTTCAGCTATATTGACTTTAACTCATTTCTCAGGTTGCAGGATGTCAGGACAAGTAAGGCCTGGAAAGCTGTAGAGTGAAATTCAGCCACAATGATGAGGACTGAGATGAGGATCACCAGTGTCCCCTTTAGCCTGTTCTGTGCTCCACAGTTGTTGGGGCATGCAATATTACAGTCCTTGGATAAAGTGGGTCTCAAGTACAGCCCCCCAGGCCACACCAAAGCCCGCAGTAGTCTTCTGTCCCTCCGGGCTTGGTGGGCCTGCTCCAGGATCCCTCAAACATCTCATCCCGGCCTTCCCAACTTCAACTTCAGCTCTGTTCCTTCTGCATTCCACCCCAACTCTATCCCCCTTCCTTGTGGGGGGTGGGGGCTGGAGGAATCTCTGAAGCGAGGGAGGACAGTTCAAGTTGGCTGCCTGAGTGTCCCAGGCTTCACCTGCTGCTCATCTGCAACCCTCTGTCCTACCCCAGCTTTGGGCCTCCGTTCGTCATACTGAAGACCTGGACTCAAAAGTTCCTATCGGCTCCCCTGGGGGTTGCCCAGTTCCCGCCAGCCACTCGAGGGTTAAATGGCACTGGTGACCGCGGGGCAACGGGCAGGCGCCCGGCTCCGCTCCTCTGGGCTCCCGAGGAGGCTCTCCGCCTCAGCACGCTCCTCCGCGGCTCAGCGCCGCTGCCCCTGGGGCGTGAGAAGCCCGCGGGGGGAGTTTCTCAGAGAAAGACAGAGACTAAAAATAGTTGCCCTGGGGAGCGGGCCCATTTCGCTCTCCTTAGGCCCCTGCCGGCTCCCTCACGCTGGCCTCGGAGAGGGCTGTGGGCCGAAAGGGTCCCCTTCTTGGGCTGTCCCAGTGTCCTCTCAGACCCAACCAGCCTCCTTTTCTCTCCCAGTGGCTCCGTGGACCCTGGGACCGAAGAAAAGGGACCAGTTGGGTGACTTCCGAGCCAGCAGACACCCAGGACAGAGAGCAGAAAAGCCTCAGGCCCTCTTCTGTTCCTAGTTTCTGACAGGGCGCAGGGCAAGAAGCACGTGCCCAGACCCCAGTGTGTCCGTTTACTATCTCTCTTCACTCTCCTCTACCTTCTGGCAAGTGGAATTATAAATGTGGGACCTGGGGAGGTCGCTGGTGGTCCACAAGGTGAAGGAAGCGCGCGCCCCTTTTGGGCCTCAGGCAGTTTCCTGGCGGAAACCGCTTCCGGCCGCTCGGTGCGCGTTGTAGGAAGGCTGGGGAAGAGCCGGCGGCACCTGCAGGCTCCAGGCGTGCCCGGCCTCGGCGGAATGGCACCGGGCTGGGTCCCCAGGGGGCGTCCAGCTCCTTGAGGCGGGGACTGTTTCCTCCCGTAGAGCCTCCGGTCTAGTGGCCCCCCCTTCATTGTCTTCTGCCTTATCACTGGGTACAAATTTCCTGCCCAGACCACAGAGATCCTCCAGGAAATGAGAAGGGGGATGCTGCGAAGGCCAAGTAACAGAGGTGGGGTATCTGTACGGCGCAGCCGGGAAGCGGTGGGGGTGGCTTGCATCCTGGCCGGATCGGCTCCCAGGCCTTAGAGGCCTTCAGCCTGGCTCTCCGAGGGTGAGGGTGGAGAGCGGGGCCTGGCTGCGGCCTCTTCCCGCGGCCTCTTCCCGCGGCCTTGGCCGCCTGCTCGCCACGCAGAGGTGGCGTCTTCTGCTCCGAGGCAGAGGGCCGAGGCCTGGAGGGAGTAGGGCCCGGGACTAGAGCAGCCAGCATCCTCAGGCCTGGCCGTGTGCAAGCCCAGGGTTATTCCCCAAAGGGCTTACCAGTTGACTGCTCTGTTGCCTCCCCAAAGGGCAAAGGATGAGTATTTCAGGACGCCATGGTGCAAACAATAGCCCCCTCCTCGAGACCAACACCCCGGTCCACCCCGAGTGCCGGACACACTCAGGGGAGGCTTTATACTTGTCCGGAGACCGTCGTTCGCGCTGCCCTTAATTCCTTGCCACCCGAGAGTTCTCTGCCCAGATCGCCCGACCCCAGAAGGGCTCCGAGGAGATTTCCGGGTTTCAGCTCTCCGTTTTCCAAGGGAAGCCCGCCTCTGGGATTGCGCGGGAGGGCGAGGAGCATCGCATTCACCGGGTCAGGCTTGGGCGCTGGGCCGTTCTGCTCTCTCCAGCTCCTGGCAAGTTCAGAAGGAGCCGCAGGGTTAACAGGTAACCAGGCGGCCTCCCAAACCCCTCCGCCCGTCGGGAACTCAGGAGTGAGGGACCCTGGCGGCCCTGAGCAGCATCGCTACTCTCCCTTGGCTCTCGCTCAGGAAAACTAGGGAAGCAAGTGGGCTACGTGGAAGGTACAACAGAAACAGTCGATCTGCCCTTTCTCCTGATATCTGCCCCTCCTCGCTGGAAATCTGCCCCCTTTCTTTGATGCTCAGAAATCTACGCCTCTGGATACGAATAAATGCATAGAAATGTGTCCCCATCCCCGCTACAACCGCAGAGGCTGGCGGTGAAGTCGTGATGAAATGGGAAGCAGGACACTGAACCAGTGGTCCCTGGGCACCCCTTGAGGCCTCCAGGGGCCGGACCCCACAAGGTTCCTCTTTCCTGTTAGAGCGACTTTCCTCACTCTCTCGTGGAGCCGCGTCGGGCAGGGTCCGCGTGCGGAGCTGGGAGCGGGTCCTGGGCACTCACGCCTCGCTCTTGTCTCCAGCGCCCCCCTCGCGGGCCGAGCTGCAGCTGCACTTGCCCGCCAACCAGTTGCAGGCGGTGGAGGGAGGGGAAGTGGTGCTTCCAGCGTGGTACACCTTGCACGCAGAGGTGTCTTCAGCCCAGCCAGGGGAGGTGCCCTTTGTGATGTGGTTCTTCAAAGATAAAGAAAAGGAGGATCAGGTGAGGGAGGAACGCCTCTCAGCCAGCGGCAAGTTGCGCCCAGCGGGGGTTGTAAGCAAAGAGCTGGTAGGGGTGGCAGGGGTAGAGAGGGAATGGGGGCCGGGGAATGGGGGCCGGGGAAGGAGTTTCAGGGAAGAGCAGAAGTCTTCACCGGTTCAGTTTTTGTTCTGATATGGGAGACTTCCCAAGCAATTATCTTTTGCCGACTTTCCCTAAAAATCCAGCACACAAAATACTGTAAAAGTGGAGAGGCATTTTACTTGGTTATGGGGGTGGAGAGGAGGAGGGAAAAAATGGAAGTGGAGGACTGGGAAACGCTTAGGGGAGGTAACACACACGACTTGTAAAAGCATATTTCTGGCCTGGCGCGGTGGCTCACACCTGTAATCCCAGCACTTTGGGAGGCCGAGGTGAGCACATCACTTGAGGCCAAGAGTTCCAGAGCAGCCTGGCCAACATGGTGAAACCCCCGTCTCTGCTAAAAATACAAAAATTTTTCGGACATGGTGGCACCTGCCTGTAATCCCAGCTACTTGGGAGGCTGAGGCAGGAGAATCACTTGAATCCACAGGCAGAGGGTGCAGTGAACCAAAATCCAGCCACTGCACTTCAGCCTGGGCGACAGAGTGAGATTCTGTCTGAAAAAAAAAAAAAGAGCATATTTCTGCTTTCACATTCTCTGCTTTGAATACTGTCGAGTCACAGGCCACTTCTCTTTCCAAATGATTCTCATCTGTCACCTTGCCCCCCTTTATACCACCTCAAGAACCAAGAGACCATCTCCTCTCACAGTCTCCCGCCCATCTGTCTTGACACCAGGTTTACATCCAAATAAAGGTTTACCCAGAAGAGAACGAAACAATGTTCAGAACCCCTGAAAACTGTGTTCAAGGAAGTCATTTGGATTTTTTTTGAGACAGGGGTCTCATTCTGTTGCCCAGGTTGGAGTGCAATGGTGCAGTCTTGGCTCACTATAGCCTCTACCGCTCCTGCTCAAATAATCCTTCCACCTCAGCCCCCTGAGGGACTGGGACTACAAGCACACGTCACCATGCTAGGCTAATTTTTTTATTTTTTATAGAGACTGTTTCACCATATTGCCCAGGTTGGTCTTGAACTCTTGGACTCAAGCAATCCACCTGCCTCGGCCTCCCAAAGTGCTCACAGGCATGAGCCAATGTGCCCAGCCTCATTTGATACTTTTAAAATATATTTTTCATATTTTTTTTCTCGAAGATGTCTCCCCCCATTGTGTAAGTTTCAGGTCTTACAAACCTGGATCCACCCCAGCAGTCTGAGTTGCATGCATACATACCTCCTATTTACATTGTCCCTCCTCCCACTATTATGTCACCTTTCTAAACACCGCAATTGGGAGATGAGACAATGTACGGGAACCAAGAACTGTTCTGGTGAAGAGGACCCGGGGCAGTGAGAGGGGCTAGGGACAAAAGGTGAATGGGGAGCTGGTTCAGGTTAGAAGAATGGGTGCATGTGAGGGGCATGTGGAGAATGCCAGTTGGGGGAGGGAGATTGGCTGAGCCTGTAGGCACAGTATACACACGTAGTAATGGTAGGGATGTATTGTGCCCCACACCAGGTGTTGTCCTACATCAATGGGGTCACAACAAGCAAACCTGGAGTATCCTTGGTCTACTCCATGCCCTCCCGGAACCTGTCCCTGCGACTGGAGGGTCTCCAGGAGAAAGACTCTGGCCCCTACAGCTGTTCCGTGAATGTGCAAGACAAAAACGGCCAAGCTAGTGGCCATAGCATCAAAACCTTAGAACTCAATGTGCTGGGTGAGTGAGAAGCACAGACTTCCGGACCCCTCCCCACCCACACTGGGAGGTCTGGTGAGTCTCTCTCCTAAAGGGTGAGAGTTGGAGGAGGGACAAATGAAGTGACAGAAGGGTGCAGGGCAGAGGGAGAGGATCTGTGGGTCTCCTGGTTGTGGTTTTAATCTGTCTCCCCCTGCCCAGTCCCTCCAGCTCCTCCATCCTGCCGTCTCCAGGGTGTGCCCCGTGTGGGGGCCAACGTGACCCTGAGTTGCCAGTCTCCAAGGAGTAAGCCCGCTGTCCAATACCAGTGGGATCGGCAGCTTCCATCCTTCCAGACTTTCTTTGCACCAGTGTTAGGTGAGGACACTTCTGGAAACAGTGGCTTCTGGAGACTGTGGCTGGGGAAGGGGAAAGATGGGAGGTACCACAGGGACTGGGGTGAAAAGGGGAGCCAATGCTGACAAGCACGGGGGAGGAGGAGGAGGGTGTGGGGAGGATGGGGGCAGAGAAAAATGCCCTGCCAGGGCAGGTATTGTGTTAGGTGCGTTCACTGTGTATACTGTCAAGAAAGGGGCTCTATAGCTGGAGTCTCTGTGTTCAAATTCCAGCTCTTCTAGTGACTAGCAGTGTGACTCAGTGCCTTCATTCCCAAATTTGTAAAATGCGGATTTTACACGCATCAGCTTGAACTCATTATTGTGACTTGAACACACCAGTTATAAAAAAGTATTTTAGGGATAACTGAAAGATTTTTAATATGAAGTATTCGATGATTTTAGATAGTTATTTTATTAATTTCCTAGGCATGGCAATGCTATTGTGGTTATATGGGACAGCGTACTTTTTTTTTGGAGATTTATGCTGAAGTGTTTACTTTAAAGTGTCTAAGTAAAAGAAAGAAATCAAATAAATATGGCAAAAAGTTAGCAACTGTTGGATCTAGGTTGTGGAAATATGGATTTTCATTTTGCCTCTGTTTCTACTTTTCACATGACCATTTTTATAACAGTAGCTTTTTCTTTTTTAAAAATAATCTTTATTACCTCACAAGTTTGTTGGGAAATTGTGGTAAGTGCATACACATAAAGAATCTAGAGTAGTCTTTGGCACAGGGTAAGCAGCCAATAAACATTCACTGTTATAATGATTAGTTCATATTGTCCTTTCAACACCATTAGGTAGGTCATATTGTCCCCATTTTACAGATGAAGAGATGGAGACCCTCAGATATCAACTACCTTGCTTAAAGTCAGTCACACGGCCTGTTCTGGAACCCATGTTTACCAGTTCCTACCCCAGTGTTCTCTCTCTCTCATCATGCTGTCTTGCCGAAATAAAAGTAAAATGGTGTTTTGGTTGCTCTTTGCATCACTTTCTCTGCGGCCTCCTGTCGGATATCCACTGGGGGCTCTGACTGAGGAGTGGGAATGGAGGTTATTGCGCTAGCCAGTCTGCAGCTAGGAGCCGAGCCCAGCTGTCACACCTCTCCCCCAGTCAGGGAATAGACAAGCCATGACTCCCAGAGGGTCAAAGGGGACATTCCAGAGGAGGGAAAAAATATATATATATATATATATATATTTTTTTTTAATGGGAAAGAGGGTCTCTGGACTGATGGCTAAATTGTGTCCACAGATGTCATCCGTGGGTCTTTAAGTCTCACGAACCTTTCCTCTTCCATGGCTGGAGTCTATGTCTGCAAGGCCCACAATGAGGTGGGCACTGCCCAGTGTAATGTGACCCTGGAAGTGAGCACAGGTCAGTGAGGGGTAAGTGTGGTTAAGAAGAGTGGTCAATGGTGGGGGAGGGGTTGCAAGTGGGGAGGAGGCCTGTCTCCTGAGGCCTCTCATTGTAACAGGGCATGGAGCTTGCCCTGATCAAATGTTTGTACAAATGGTTGGTCAGTGACCAGTCATTTCCTGCTCAACAGCCACCCCTCTCCTTGACAGGGAAAAAGAGGGAATGTGTATGGTGGCAGAAGGGGTAGGGGCAGTGGGATTGGAGGGGGTGGGAACCCCTCAGCTGGGTGTCCCCCTCTAACACGATGCCTTTTCCAGGGCCTGGAGCTGCGGTGGTTGCTGGAGCTGTTGTGGGTACCCTGGTTGGACTGGGGTTGCTGGCTGGGCTGGTCCTTTTGTACCACCGCCGGGGCAAGGCCCTGGAGGAGCCAGCCAATGATATCAAGTAAGTGTCCCTGGTCTCTGCTGCAGTGGGGGCTCTCCCTGCTCTCCTCACAGAGTCTGGGAATTCAGGCCCCTCTCATCTATTGGAATGGGGTCAGTGGCTGAAACATCATTCCTATGGGCAGATTTTAAGGGAGAGGGAAAGGAGTATTGAAGTGTACAGGGAGAGGTGGCATATAAGACCAAGCATGTAGAAACGCTCTCCCCCTTCCCCCTCCCACTTCTGACCTCTTGTTATTTCTTTGATGACTAGGGAGGATGCCATTGCTCCCCGGACCCTGCCCTGGCCCAAGAGCTCAGACACAATCTCCAAGAATGGGACCCTTTCCTCTGTCACCTCCGCACGAGCCCTCCGGCCACCCCACGGCCCTCCCAGGCCTGGTGCATTGACCCCCACGCCCAGTCTCTCCAGCCAGGCCCTGCCCTCACCAAGACTGCCCACAACAGACGGGGCCAACCCTCAACCAATATCTCTCATCCCTGGTGGAGTTTCTTCCTCTGGCTTGAGCCGCATGGGTGCTGTGCCTGTGATGGTGCCCGCCCAGAGTCAAGCTGGCTCTCTGGTGTGATGACCCCGCCACTCATTGGCTAAAGGATTTGGGGTCTCTCTTTCCTATAGGGGTCACCTCTAGCACAGAGGCCTGAGTCATGGGAGAGTAATCACACTCCAGACCCTTAGTACTCTGCCCCCACCTCTCTTTACTGTGGGAAAACTGTCTCAGTAACACCTAAGTGTCCAGGAGATAGAAGAAGAGGAAGTGGATCTGGAATTGGGAGGAGCCTCCACCCACCCCTGACTCCTCCCTGTGAAGCCAGCTGCTGAAATTAACTCCTCATCAAGAGTGAGTGGCAGAGACTTCCAGTTACTGAGTCTCCCAGGCCCCGTTGATCTGTACCCCACCCCTATCTAACACCACCCTTTGCTCCCACTCCAGCTCCCTGTATTGATATAACCTGTCAGGCTGGCTTGGTTAGGTTTTACTGGGGCAGAGGATAGGGAATGTATTTTTTAAACTAACATGAAATATGTGTTGTTTTCATTTGCAAATTTCAATAAAGACACATAATGTATGTATGGGATAAGAAACAAGTTGCCTTTTCAAACTAAGAATTCTAGAAATTAAGCTTCAGGAGCACGCAAAGTGGACCCCTTCCCAAGCTGTGTACCCAGGAGGACTTCTCCCCACAGGCTCAGAGCAGCTCTTCTAGTGTTTAGAAGGGTCCTTGTTTGTCAAGTGGAGAAGAGGAGACTCTGAGCTACTCTGAACAGCAGAGGGATGGAGCTGGTAGCTTTCTGCTGGAGCTTGAGTGCTCCCGGCTACGGGGTGCGTGTACCTCATCTGCATCCTCTTTAGGGACAGGGGAGAGGAAGCTCAGGAGGGCTCCTCTCCCACACCATGGAATTCTTAACAAAAACACTTCTTGTCCATCTGGAAGAGATCTCTGTTGTTACTGAGGGAGCGCTGGGCATAGTATGGGGTGCAGGTCTGTGTCCAAATTCTGCCATGTTTTTTCCTACCAAGGGTAGGGTCTCTTTTAGGTCTCAGTTTCTCTGCCCCTAAAATGGAGTGGCTGTGGAAATGGAGAGGTGCTCATTTCCACCCAGACTCCTACCTCAGTAAGTGGTGAAATGAAAAGCGGTGTGGACAGAAAGGGTCTGCGGCCTGGGGCTCACACTGGTAGTGAGGCTCCGAGGTGGGGACCCCACTTGCCAGCCCTGGGGTAGCAGGACACCTTCTAAAGTCAGCTTTCCTCCCGGAGCTCCAGTGCTGAGCCCCTCTCTGCAGAAGGCCCAGCCCTTTTCCCAAGGCCTGACAGCTTCAGACTTTGGGGAGAAGAGGAAGGAAGGAGGGAGCAGGGATAGAGAGACTGCAGAATTGGGGCTGGAGGAGAGGAGGGAGGCCCACTTTTTTTTTTTTTTTTTTAACCTGCGGTGCCGGCCTCTCCCCTGTTTGCTCTGAGATACCAGTCTCGCTCCTGCCCAGCCCGGGCGGCTACCCTTGGGTGCTCCCTTCCCTCCCCGACACCCAGACCGACCTTGATCGCCCACCTGGCAGGAGCAGGACAGGACAGATGGACGCGGCCATGGCCGAGCTCCCGGGGCCCTTTCTCTGCGGGGCCCTGCTAGGCTTGCTGTGCCTGAGTGGTGAGGAGGCGCCAGGCGGGACCACGGCGAGAACTGGGGGGCATAGGCCTGGCTTCCCGGGCTCCTTGGGACCCACTCTGTCCCCGCCAGGCCAGACGAGGCTGCCGTGGGCCTCAGGGGCCCTAAGGCGCCTGGGGTGAGGCCGGGGAGGGGGTGTCGAAGGCCCGGAGTGGGGAGGAGAGAGGCCCCCAGGCCGGCGGGCGAGTTCGGCCTCTCCGCCCGCACAGGCCTGAACCACCCCACCGCAGGGTTAGTGTTTTCCTTTCTCTGCTAAACACACACACCGTCTTACCTGGCCCGGTTCCGGCTCCTTTACCCACAAAGACCTGGCCCCTCCCGGAAACCTCAGGTTTTGGGAAGGGAGGGGTTGGATTGAGGGGAGAGCGTTGTGCTCTGCGGAGGGAGCCCCCAGCTTCCAATGTAGATGCCCGGGGGTGGGCCCGACCCTCCAGATCACTGGAATTTGGGTTCCTACCTCCCTCTGGTCCCCGGCCCCAGGGCTGGCCGTGGAGGTGAAGGTACCAACGGAGCCGCTGAGCACGCCCCTGGGGAAGACAGCCGAGCTGACCTGCACCTACAGCACGTCGGTGGGAGACAGCTTCGCCCTGGAGTGGAGCTTTGTGCAGCCTGGGAAGCCCATCTCTGAGTCCCATCCAGTGAGCTATGAGCAACTGCATGAAGCTGGGTTGGCCTGGAGGGACAGGAGCCCAGGAAGAGGGCATGGGGTAGGGAGGGGGCGTTTGGGGATCAGTATGCTTCGATGAAAAGGTAAGTGGGCTCTCCCAAGATCTTTTCAGAGCTGCAGTCTGCCTGACCCTATATCTTCCTTTCCTCTCCCATAGATCCTTTTTCCAACTCCCCTGCCTTAGTGTATCCATTGACACTAAGGTGTTGTGACTGATACCAAGATAATATGCTGCCTCTTCTGTCTCTCTCTTAGAGAGATGGGGGGGGGGAGAGAGATAGAGAGAGAAAGAGAGAGACCAATGGATCAGGTTCATTTAGCACCTAAAAGGGGGTGGTGTTTGGGAACAGAGAGACCTTTGAGGTTCCAGCTACAGGGTGTCAGCTCCCTGGCTAATGTAAGTCAGGGGCCTCTTATACCCACTTTGATGAGGAAGGACTGTAGAGTTGATGCTCGGCAGAAAAAGGCACATATGTGTGTCTTCTGCCTCTCCCCAGATCCTGTACTTCACCAATGGCCAACTATATCCAACTGGTTCTAAGTCAAAGCGGGTCAGCCTGCTTCAGAACCCCCCCACAGTGGGGGTGGCCACACTGAAACTGACTGACGTCCACCCATCAGATACAGGAACCTACCTCTGCCAAGTCAACAACCCACCAGATTTCTACACCAATGGGTTGGGGCTAATCAACCTTACTGTGCTGGGTAAGGCAGGCTGGGGATCCACGAGCCACATACTCTTTCACATACTTGGGGGGGTTTGCACTGGTCCTGCTAAATCTCCAGTTTCTGACTTTTGACCCCAGCACACAACTGCACTGGGGGCCCCAAGCGAAAATACTCTCTCTTCAAGTCTTCTAATCCAGATGGTCATACTCCAACTCCACCCTCCACTGAGAGCATCTCCTCCATCAGAGCCTAATAACAGAGGGTGGGAGAGAAAGCCCTTCCCATATGTGGGGATCTGAGTCTGCTCCCAGAAGCTCCATCATGGGGGAGCCTCTCATTGGGAGTTGGATTCTGTCCCTCCCAAGGTCAGTGGCAGAGAAGGGGAGTGGCCATCAAAGGAACAAGGGCCGATATTACTGAGCAGCAACTTTGTGCTCAGAGCTTCTGTCTCAACCCAAACTAGAGCCTGTTCAGAGATGAGCAACCACAAAAACTATCAAAGAGGCTGGCAGTGTTTAGATGGAAAAGAGAAGGCCTAGGATGGGTGTATGACTGCTGGATTCAACTATCTGAAGGGCTGTCATGTGGAGGAGAGATTTTAATTTCTCTTTGTGGGCCCAAAGGGCAGGAACTGAAACCAATGGGTGGATATTATGTTAACACACATTTTGGCTCAACATGAGGAAGAGTTTTCTCTAACAATCAGAATTTCCAATAGTGGAAATCTCTCAGTTCCTGGGGATGCAGTGGTGTGTGGACACAAGAGGACCACTGTTTGATAGGGGTATTGAAGTAGAGAATGTAGCACCTAATGAAGTTGGGAGTGGGGTTGGAAGATTGCTGAGGAACTTTCTGGTTTTTGCAGTTCCCCCCAGTAATCCCTTATGCAGTCAGAGTGGACAAACCTCTGTGGGAGGCTCTACTGCACTGAGATGCAGCTCTTCCGAGGGGGCCCCTAAGCCAGTGTACAACTGGGTGCGTCTTGGATCTTTTCCTACACCTTCTCCTGGCAGCATGGTTCAAGGTAAGGGCCCAGGGCATCAGGAAGAGGGGACTGGAGACCTGGGCAAATCTGCCTCTTCCTTGGCTTCCTGTATTATTCCCTCCTGCCTGTCTTCCTGCACAGTGTGTGGCTGGGTGATCCTGGGAGTATTTCTCAAGCTGAATATGTTACTGATATCCTGGAAGAAAGTAGAGGGCAGGGAGCATTCTCTTGATGCCCACCCATCTGCCTTGGGGAGATTTCTTTTAGGTTTCCTAAGGGTCATGGATCACTTCCAAACTTCCTAGAGAGGAAACTGAGGCAGAGTAGCACAGACTGTCTTGAATCTTTTAACCAGTATCTTTGGAGGAGCCTTAGTTTCTCAGCTTCCTCTTCCTGGATTCAGTTGTTCTCTCCAGCCCCAGCAAACTCCTTTATCAATCCAGAAATGAATGAGCCACCCCCAGATCACCTCCTGGTATGTGCTTTGCCTTCTCAGGCAAAGGTAAACAGTTTAAAAAAGCATTTGTGTCCACTTAGAGCCACCCTACAGGATGCAGTTTCTAGCAATCAAGCCTTTTACCCCAAACCAGGAACCTGACATCAGCTAGTAAGCACCCCACCCTGACTCCATGGCCAGTTTCTGAATCCTTCATGAGTGTACAGTCCTCCTCCTCCCAAAAAGGCAGCTATGTAGGGTGGAAAGAACAGGTAAGTTGTAGCAGCTTTGGAATTCCTCTCTGGGTCTCCTCAGATACACTACTTCCTTTTTCTGAACTGGTTTCCCCACCAATAAAAAAAAAATTAGTTCCTCCCTGACAGGATTGTTGTAAGGATGACATGAAATGTGCTGTCCTCATAGAGGTGCTCACTGAGTTGAATGGGCCGCAGAACACTTCCTCTTCATCCTCTAGATGAGGTGTCTGGCCAGCTCATTCTCACCAACCTCTCCCTGACCTCCTCGGGCACCTACCGCTGTGTGGCCACCAACCAGATGGGCAGTGCATCCTGTGAGCTGACCCTCTCTGTGACCGGTAGGGATGCTGGGTGGAGGCCAGGCCAGCAGCCTTGTGTTGGGGAAGCTGTCGGCTGGTGGGCCGAGGAAAGCCTGCAACTCTGAAGGTCCTGTATCTCCTTAGAACCCTCCGAAGGCCGAGTGGCCGGAGCTCTGATTGGGGTGCTCCTGGTCGTGCTGTTGCTGTCAGTTGCTGCGTTCTGTCTGATCAGGTTCCACAAAGAGAGGGGGAAGAAGCCCAAGGAGACATATGGGGGTAGTGACCTTCGGTGAGCAGGAGGGCTGGGGGATGGTGCAAGGAGGGAGGAAGGGGCTTGGGTTAAAAGCAGGTGCCTGCAGTCCTCAAACTCCAACATCATTCAGTGTGTTTAGGGGTAGGAGGTATTGTTCAGCCCTGGGATTTGCTGGTGGCAGCAGTATAACCTGTGTATTTGAGGGTGCAGGCAAGCAGTACAGGGTGGAGTGGCTGGTAAAAGCTGTGGCAGGGAAGCTCAGTTTGCAGGACTGCCCTGCCCCTCCTCATATTTAACAAAGTTTACTTTTCTGTTCTGAACCACCTGGGAGTATTAGTGGCTTGTAGATGCCGGGAGCTGGATTTGTCCTGAGCAGTCAGCTGAGTTCAGTTCTTCTGTGGAGGAAATCAGGAAAGGGGAGGAGAAGCTGCCTCTGTCATCCACTTTAGTTGCCAGTCAGGGTCTAGGATAGAGATCAGAGCAATATTTCTCCAGGTGGAGTCCTCAGACTACCCGGACAGAAATCACCGGGAACTAGTTATACATTCAGATTCAGGCCACTCCTAGCCTTCCTAGAGTTGTGTGTTAGGGAGTGATGAGGCCCAGAAACTTCATTTTGACCAAAGTTCCGCAGATTATTCTCAAGCACAGTGAAATTTAAAAGTCCCCAGGTTAGAGGATGGCCGTCCTCTGCAGGAGGCTTCTACTGTTCACTAAGAACTTGCCTATACCCATCAGGGAGGATGCCATGGCTCCTGGGATCTCTGAGCACACTTCTATGAGGGCTGATTCTAGCAAGGGGTTCCTGGAAAGACCCTCGTCTGCCAGCACCGTGACAACCACCAAGTCCAAGCTCCCTATGATTGTGTGACTTCTCCCAATCCCTGGGAGGGCGGTGAGGGGGAATATCAATAATTAAAGTCTATGGGTACCATACTGTCTCCTTCTTTCTGCTGGTATGGCGAATTCCTCCAGGCGGCAAGAGTATTAACAGTAAGAGAAGGAATGGGCTTGAAGTCCGAGAAAAGGTAGGCAGGAAGTTTGGTTGGGTCAAAGGGGTAGATTTCAACCTAGGTGCCTCTCCACTTCAACCCACCAGCTCCCGATTTTTGGTTTGGCCCAAGGAGACTTGTTCAAGTTCCAAGCGGAGGCCTTGTGCACCCAAACTCCCTCCCCCGGCACCCTCTGAACACTTGGACATTCCTCTTTATTGTTCACATTCCAACCCAGCACAGTCACATGCACACACGGAGATTAAAAACCTTTCGGCCACAGCCCCAGGAGCCCGGCGGGGAGGGGGGGAGAGGGAAGGGCGGGGCCGACGGGGGCGGGGCGGGGCCGTGGAAGACTCCTCCTACCGAGCCTCCCAGGCGCTCGGCGTTTGCATAAACAAGAGAGCTGGAGAGGCTGCCCTCAACAGTGCGCTGGGGAAAGGGGAGGGAACGTGACAGGCAGGTGTGGGATAGGGACTTCTCTTCCGGTCAGAGCAAGGGGCGTCCGAAACCATAAAAACACTTTCCCTTCATCTCACCCCAGATCCAAAGTCCTGAGGCTAGGCTGGGGCGGGAGTGGCACGGAGATGTAGGGCGCCCCTTTTAGCTGCGCACAGAACGAAAGAACTTGTTTTTTCTTTAAGTGAGTGTACTTGGGTGACGCTTAGGGCGCCCTCCGCAGTGCGCGCAGGAAAGCGCACTGAGGCTGCGGAGGCAGAGCTGCATGCTGGGTGCGGGGAGAGGTGGGCGAGAAGCAAAAGAAGGAAGATTTGGGAACGCATGGTTTAGGGTGGGGTGGAGTGGAAGGGCAAATGGGGACCATACTAGACTGCAGAACTAACTAAAAGGGCACGGACTCAGCGACTCCGCGACGGAGCCTGCCTGGGTGAGGGAGTCTCTGGGACGCAGGGGGCTCCCGTAGCTGGCAGGTTGCTGGGCAGGAGGGGGTCACAAACACGGCAGGGAAGTCTCGTCGCTGCGAAGGGAACGCGGCATCCATCTCTCCTCGGGAACTGAGGACAGAAAAGGTCTGAGAACCTGCCCTCTCCCGCCACTTCCTCTTCCCCCTCCTTTCCCCCTTTCAGTACCAGGATTCTTTGGGCGGGGAGTGCCAGGGGGCCTCAGTCACCCAGAACCCCCCACCCCGAGTCAAAGCGCTGAAATGCGCCCCGCGGCAGGTACGTGTGCGAGCCGCGATGTATTTCTGCCCCTCGGCCGGGCTTGTGCAGCCAAATGGGGTGGCTTTGCATATGTATGTCCCCGTCGCAGCCTCGGGGGTCTGGATGTATCAGAAAACCTGCAGGGGCAGGGTGCATTTTCCCCGGCTGGGAGGGGTGAGGACGGGCAGAGGAAAGGGCTAGGGATTCCATCCTTTTCTCCTACTCAGGCGTCCCACCCCGCCGCCTAGGGGCCGTGTTCATTACCTTTGAAAATGCTCAGTTCTTCTTCGGTCCAGGGCGGGGCAGAAAGGAGGATACAGAGGGAGAAACAGGTGAGCTCCTGGAATCCGCCCAACCCTCAGCCTCTAACCACCCACCCACCTCCCATCTCGGATTTCTATCCCCCAACCCTTGGCTCCCACCACGCCCCCTGCACCCCCAGCCCGCCCTTATTCTCCCCCTGCTCCTTCTGGGGAGGGCTGGGAAGGGCAGCTGTCAGCCTGCCGGCGCGCCGCCCGCCTCACCTGGCCTAGTCTCCGCTGGGGCCGCCGCCCGCGCCTCCCCGGGCCACCCCAGCTCCGCCAGGCCCCCCAGGGCCCGGGCCCTTCCGGCCGCGCTCTCCGCTCTTTATCTTCTTCCGAGCCATGTGGCCCCGAAAACTCGCCTGGATTTTGGCGGCGGCCGCGTTGGCGCCGGGGTCGTCCAGCGGGATGTCTAGAATGTCGTCGTCCGGCTTGGAGCAGGCGTTCTCCTGGGGGCGGAGCAGGAGGGTTCTTGTGGGGTCACTGTGTCTTGATCCGCGGGAGTGGGGTAGGAAGAGCCCTGAGGGACTGGGACTATAGCGATACGGGGGTGGGAGGTGAGGGGTGTCGAGCCTGGAGCAGGGCTATGGCAGGGACACGCACTGGGGCATGGGCAGCGACAGGCGAAGAAGGTTCAGGGCCAGGTGGACAGTCATGTCTCAATTCAGGAAAGAGAAGTGCAGGCAGGACTGGGTGTGGAAGAGCCAGGCCCATCACCAGCACCGAGTTAGGGGTCTGCAGAGCTGATTGGAGGCTGGTTTGGAGCAGCAAGGAAAACAGCGGCAGGCACTCCTGGAGTGGCCGCCTGTCCCCCTGCTCTCAGAGGGTAACTCCAGCTCAGAAGGACCCAGTCTGAGTCCAGGGTTTTCCATGGAGAGGGTGGAGAAGCCTCAGTCCGCCAGCCCTCTCCCCAGTAGAAATGCAGGAATCTCACAGCTGGAATTGGGGAGAAGTTGGGGATACTAGTCAGTGAGTCAGCCTCCCCCGACCTAAGACTAGAGGCCCAGAGATTGTTTTCCCATTGACTCTTCATTTTCCACTGCCCAAGGATGAACTCAGACATAGGAGATAGGCGATGATTTGGATGAAGTGATAGAGAAAAGTCTTCACTCCAAGGAAAAAAAAAAAAAGAAAAGGAAAGGAAAGGAAAGGAAAAGACCAGCAGGAGCAAGAAGCCCTCCCCAGGGTGTGCTTATGACGAAGAAAGGAATTATGGTGATAACTACCACTTAAGCACTTATCTTGTTCCAGGTGCAATAACAGTGTTTTACAGGCATTATTTTATTTAGTCCCTCAAAATAAAGCTATTACGTACCCTTTTATGATTACCCCTAATAAAACTAATGATTAGACTGTTTAAAAACCTACCTGGGTCATAAAGACAGTTACCAGTGGACCCAAGATTCAAACCTTTGTATTTCAGAGTCCAGAATATATTTTTACCCCTACTTTTTAGGACAAGCAAATGCAGCCCAGTCAACCAACCAAGGTCTACCATTTGCTATAGGTGTGTGGCCTTCGGCAAGTTATCTCATCTTTTCCTATCTCAGCACCTTCCTCTAAAATATCAGGATAATATTATCTACCTCTATGGGTTGTGGGGAAGAATAAACAGCATGATATGCATAAAGTCTCTTGCACAACCTAGCTGCTCAATAAATGGTAGCTCTTATGATTGTCTTAAAAATAACATTAAGTTAATGTGAAATAGTTGTTTTTGCAGGCCAAAAGTGGTCATATAATAACAATTTCATATGGTTCAACCTACTAATAATTAGGCCCACCTCTATGCTTCAAACTAGGTTTCTGTTTCTCTGATAGCCTGCCCTGGTTGAAAGTAGAAGGGGATGGGGGATTGATGGTATAGATTGCAGAAAAAAGGCTATGGAATGGAGAGGAATTCAGCCTCTGAGCCCCTTTGTTGCTTAACATTACTTGCAGTATTAGCGTGGGTCAGGATGGGGATGGTTACTATGAAGTTAGAAGGACATTTCTCCTTTGATCTGGCTCTCTGGCTTCTAGGAATTTGCCTCCTTCTTTTTTTCTTTTTTTTCATGAAGTCTTCCACTGTTTTGACTATCTTTTTCTTCTAGGACATGAGATGACCAAGGTTTCACATAATAATGGTAATTCAGTTCTGCACATTCGCTCTCCCTGCCATCATCCATCCAGTTCATAGAAGTGGACAGGATATGAGCAAGGCTTCAGTGATCACTGTCCTAGCCAGATTCTGCCCCAGGGGCACAAGCCTTAAACTCCAGATGCCCAAGCCCCGGCTTAAAAATGGCTCCCCTCACCATGTTTCCCAAGGTTAGCCTCATTTCCTCGGCTTCACATTCTTCCATTTGTGCTCAAGATGCCCACAGTCGATTTAAACACAGGTAAAAGGAGTTACATTTTGGTAGAAGAGCCAAAGAAAACAAAAGTTACAAAAAGGCAGGTATGGTTGTGGAGGGGCCCAACACAGGTCTAGAGTGCTCAGAAAAGACTCCTTTGGAATGTTTTATGCTTAGAGCTCAAGTCTTTCTTGGGATATCCTCAGGGAACAGTAAGGCTTCTTCTCAAAAGAGGGTGACAACCATAAAAAAGAATTCCTGACCTACCTCTCCTCCTTGGCCTCGCAGCTGTGGAGGAGTGGGAAGGTTGAGTGGAAGAAGGGATATCTGCCTCCAACCACGCTAGACCCGACCTGCTGTCACCACCCGCCCCAGCTGGATCCAGAATGGAAACCTGGAATAGCAGGCAAAGCCACCCCCGACACACCATGTTCCTCCCCAGAACCAGCTCCCTCTCCTTCAGCTGAATTGTCAGGACACAGCTGCCAGGTTGCCAGTCCACAGGTGGAAGTGGAAGGGGATTAAAAGGACCTGGGAAGAGGTTCACTGGTCATGGTGTCTGGCTAGTGCCTTCCGAAGCTACGGTTGTTGGTGTGTGCCTGAGAGTTCCATAGAAACTAGGGACTTCTGGGAGGGAGAAGGAGGTGGAAGGGGCCCTGGTCAGCAAAGCAGGAGCCAAGGCTTCTAGTCCCAACTGGGCACATCGCTTCATTTCTGAGAGTCTCATTTTCTTCAGCCACAACTAATGAAAAAAGTCTCCTTCAGCTCCCAAATCCAAATAGCTTTAAGGATTTCCCCTGCTTGCTGCTTGTTATATGTCAGGCCCTGTACTAAGTGCTTTGCACATATTACCTCATTTAATCCCCATTTTGAGAAGTCAGGAAACAGCCTCTGAGACATTTTGTAACTTACCTAAGGTCACTCAGTTGACAAATAGTGAAGGGATGGATTCAGTAGCCTCTGCTGTTAGCCATTGCCTCAGGGCAGGTAATTATTTCTATGAATTCAGCAGGGCCAAGCCAACTAGACTAAGCAAAAGAAATGAGTAGGATCAAAAAAAAAAAAATGTTTCTTTCATGTGCTTTTTCATGCGCAGTGAATGCAGGGAAAGTCATATATATATGGCTATGTAAATCAGCAACTGCAATAGTTGAATCAACAGGAATAAAAAACCATTCCTCTGTCTCTTAAAAAAAAATAGGCAGATCTGTTTTCTTCTTCCTCATTTCTATTTGAGCCTCTGTACCAAGGAGAAATGAGAATAAGACAGGACTAGATTCTTCCCAAACACCAGGTGATGCAGTCAGTGAGGAGAGCTCCAGAATCCAAGAGGAAGAGGGACCTGCCTCTAGCCCCCAAGAGGTATGCTGTTCTTCCTACACATCGCAGCTCCCTCCCAGCACTGAGTCCCGCCCTCCACAGAAAGGGGAAGAAAATGCCCCCCCCAGCCCTGCCCTTCCCCAACCCTCCATCCCTCACCCTTTCTTCTTCCTGTCCTCCTGCACAGTCTGATATTGGTGCTCTCTCTTGCTCAGCCCTAAGCCCTGCAGATCTCTAGGACAGGGCATGACTTGGGAAGGCTCCTTTGCACAGGGTGCACTGGAGGAGGTGCCCCAGGCCCTCGGCCATGGAGATAATTGTGTATCTGCTTCTTCTTTACCTTTTGGGTGGGTAGCCTT